AGGCTGCACAGGACCAGGCTCAGGTGTGACCCTGCCCCCAGGGTTCGAGGCCCTCCCACATCAGTGCAATTGCCCCGCAGACATGCTCACAAGCTACCCCATGGAAGAATTGTCTCAGTGGCGGCCCCTCTTCTCGGGTGACTCTATGTCTAGTAGACAACATCTAATAGACACACTCAGGCAATTTGTAGCCTTGGAGCACTCACTATAATGAAGCAGCAATGTAGTTATTGGTTGAATTCTGTGAGCTGCTCAAGCAAATTAATTGAACCTGGGGAGACAGGGGTTGTTGGGACTCTATGAACTCCCTGTCCATAAGCACTGAGAAACATGGGGCTTTGACTGGTGTATAAATAGAGTGTTGGGCACTCAACTGTTAGGGTCTGCCACTATGTTGGTATCAGACTTTAACTGGAGTGGAGGATACCTGGATATTGTCCATGGTTGCAGAGCTTACCCCCAGAGGTTTTGAGGTCACACGTTTTCTGTGTTTATTACGGTGAAAATGGGGTGTTTGTTTGTTTAGACAAGTTCTAATCCTGTAGGCCAAACGCTCTTCCATGTTGTGCTAATAATCAATCTTTGACTTTCTGCTCCAAATCCGTACCTCTGCCTGTTAACATCGATCGCCTTTGCCGTGGGTGTGGTATTACGCTTGGCCAGTAGAGGGCAGTAAAGGAATGTTGCAGGAGCAAGGCTGTGGCTTCCTTGTGATTCTAGTGATTTCTCCAGCAGCGTGGTGAGTGGGTATGCAGGTAGGTGAGAACGGCGGTGGTCCCATATGCCTGGAAAGCAGTCTCCTCGGGACCTTGCCGTCTTGGAATGGGTTTGCTGGCCTTCCTGCCATCCTTCTGTGGAGACAACCGAAAGCGGTACCCCGACTCTCATTGAGAAGCTACGCTCCATACCAACATCTGCGCTTAGAGGGAAATCTATACTTTTGAGGTTCATAAGAAGCAATTCAGGAGGCTCCGGGTTCAATCCTCTCAGCGCTACAAAATAAAAATGCTAGGGAAAAAAGTGAACCAAGTATCATGTTTGACAAACATCAGAACAAACGGAGAGAAAGAAGAATGGGATTTACAAAGATGAAAGCACAAGCCATTAAACTAGAAAACCAGAAGAAAAGGTGGCGTTGGTAGCGTGTGCCTGTAATCCCATCTGGAAGGGAGAGATGGGAAAGTCAAGAGTTCGAGGTTTAGCCCGGCAGTGGTGGAGCACGCCTTTAATCCCAGCACTCGGGAGGCAGAAGCTGGAGGATTTCTGTGAGTTGGAAGCCAGCCTGGTCTATAGAGCAAGTTCCTAGGCAGCCCTAACTCGAGGGGGAAAAAAAAAGAGCCCGAGGTTTGTCTGGCTTCATTGGGAGTTAGAATCCACACTCGAGACAATGTTTCAACATCCTCCGCCACCTCCCTATTCTGCCCCCCCCCCAGAACAGTACTCCGCAAACCAATTAACAAAACAATAGGATAAATTAAAAAGCACACAAAAAACGAAACAGTAAAAAAAAAAAAAAAAAAAAAAAAAAAAAAAAAAACATAGGAAACAAAGGGGGTTCTGCTTTAACTTTCTTTTGTTTACCTTTGGACTCATTGTCTCCTTGCCTCAGTCCCAAGTACTTTGCTGGTGTGCCCTGTCAGGTTCACAGCAGCTGAAATCTTTGGATGTAGTTTGTGATACAAAAACAACCAAGGGAGGCCCAAACAATCCTCCAAGTGAATTTAACCTTAAAACAGTTTATTCCCTCTAACAGTCCAATTTCTTTTTTAGTAAACTGTTAATTCAATTCATCAAAACTGTAATTATGCCTCTCACTGTTTTTTTAGGACAAAGAAAGCCCATGCAAAATGCAATTTCTTCACACAAAACGTAAGCGGTCCAGAGCAGGCAGTTCTCTGTGGAGGGTTACCTACTTTGCACGTTGGATTTTCATTTAAGTGTGAGTGAAGGAGACACTCAAAGGTGATTGTTTTTTTCTTTTAAAGGCTATAATTCCTGAAGAAGAATTCTTATTTTCTCCCAAATTTTGAATGCATTGAGAAGGCTAGTGTAGAGAACTTAGACCTGCTTTAGTTCTGACAATTTTAATTAGAGGAGATTATCTTATATCTTTGGAGAGGAAGGCAGCCTATTCCACCTCTGAGTCTTTCCAGGTATGAACCTAGGCCCATGGACATGTATTCTCTTTGTTTGTCTTTTCAAGACGGTTTGTCTGTAGTTTTGGAGATAGTCCTGGAACTTGCTCTGTAGACCAGGCTGGCCTTGAACTCATAGATCCACCTACCTCTGCCTCCCGAGTGCTGGGATTAAAGGTGTGCATCACCAATGCCCAGCTGGACATGTATTCTTATGCCATTCTTATGCCTGACCAAGTGGCTTGGATAGCAGATCAGTATATAGGTCATTCAGATAAATGTGCAAATATACATTAAGTTGGGTAAGTATGTCCCCTGAATTGCATGGGATATACTTACACTAAATATATGCATTGACTCTCTTCTAAGATTTTTAGTTTTTATGTATATTTTTGCTTGCACATATGTTTACTACCATGTATGGACAGTGCCCTCAGAGACCTTTGGCTCCCCTGAAACTGGAGTTGCAGATGTTTGTGGGCTACCATGTGGATGCTGGGACTCAACCCTGCTCCTCAGGAAGAGCAGCTAGTGCTGGTAACTGCAGAGACATCTCTCCAGCCCGTGCACTGTTTTTCTGAAATTCAGAATTAACCTGGTCTTCTGTGTCTGGCATCTCCCCTGTCTCTGCTCTGGACTTTCTGCCTCAGATCTTCCCCAAGATACCTTGGATTTTGTTAACATTCTCGATGCCTTTAAGAGAAAGCTTTTTATTTTTAAGTTAGTCAATTAATCTTGAGACAGGACCTCGCTACATAGCCCTGCCTGGCTTTGAACTTGCTGTGTAGATCCAGCTGGCTTCAAATCCACGGAGATCTGGCTGCCTCCACTTCCTCAGTGCTGTGATTAGGAGTGTACACCACGCCCAGTTAACGTCCTTTATTTCCGACATGATCTTCAAGGCCCTGCTAAACGCCCCACTTTGCTGTACCTCTGATTGCCTTGTCTTCAAGTTTCAACATGGCCGGTCCGGCCTGGATGAACCTCCCTTCCCATCTTCTCTAATCCTTAGGCCCCTTTTTCCATATCATGTGCTCGTCAGCTTTCTATTACTGTAACAAATACCAGAGACAGTCGATTGAAAAACCATCAAGGTTCATTTCAACTCAGTTTTGGAGGTTTCAGCCCTTTACCTATTGCCCACTTACTTTTGGGTCTGGGAAACACCTGATGCCAATAAATGTATAAGTTAGCCATGCATACATTGTATAAATGTATAAGTTAGCCATGCATACATTGTATAAATGTATAAGTTAGCCATGCATACATTGTATAAATGTATAAGTTAGCCATGCATACATTGTATAAATGTATAAGTACCATGCCTACATTGTTAGCCATGCATACATTGTATAAATGTATAAGTTAGCCATGCATACATTGTATAAATGTATAAGTTAGCCATGCATACATTGTATAAATGTCTAAGTTAGCCATGCATACATTGTATAAATGTATAAGTTAGCCATGCATACATTGTATAAATGTCTAAGTTAGCCATGCATACATTGTATAAATGTATAAGTTAGCCATGCATACATTGGTTTTCCTCTTGCCCTGCTTGTTTCATAACATTCATTTTATACCTAGTGGTTTGTGCTTTTATCTTCCCTGGCAAGAGTGACCAACTCCAGCTGTTGTCCATACCATACCTGAAGGATGCTTTGCATATACCAGGTATGTAACAAGTCTTTCTCTGTCCTGCCTGTCAGCTCCCAAATAACCACGCAGAGACTTGTTATTGATTATGAATGCTCAGCCTTAGCTTAGGCTTGTTTCTAACTAGCTTTTATAGTTTAAATTAACCCATTTCTACTAATCTATGTGCTATGCTACCACCTGCCTCATGGATTTCACCTCTCTTCCTGCATGTCCTGCTTTCTCTCAGGCTTCCCTGTCTCTCCCAGGCCTAGATTCATCTCCTTTCCTTTTCTCTGTGCCCAGAAGTCTCACCTAACCTCTTCCTGTCTAGCTATTGGCCATTCAGCTCTTTATCAAAACCAGTCAGAAGGTGTCTTGACAAATACACATCTTCACGGTATACAAAAAGATTATTCCACAAGAACACACACACACACACACACACACACACACACACACACACACCTGACCTAGTAACCGTGTGACTATACAGTTTTTCAGTTGTGTGTGAGGGGGCCTGAAATAGTTCAGCAGGGTCAGGTGCTTACTTCAAAGTCTGACTCCCTGAGCTCAGTTCCCTGAACTGTTCCCTGAACAGTTCCCTGAAAGGACAGAAACGACTGACGATCATGCACACACAGGAGTGCCTGTGAATACACAAACATTCACAAAGTGAAGTGTTCTTAGCAGATCACCTATCCAAAGCTAAGTATTCAGATAGCATCTAAACCCGTTAGAGTTCTCTCCCTGCTTTGCCGTAACTAGCCTAACCTGTGGCCTCAAAAATGTATTTGGAAAATGTCTTGATTAGTGATTTTCATTTTTCTAGAACTAATCAGACCTGGAGCAAGAACATCCAGAGTAGATTGTCATTTTGGGGCAAGCTGAATATATGTTCCCTAACCACTGTCAAAAATCCCATTTGCCTCCAGAATAAACTTTAGACAGGAGCTGTGCTTTTAGCGGCATTGTGAGGATGCTTGTGAGGACACTTAGGGGGACAGTCCCTTTGGTTACCTGTTGCACTGGGTGGCTCCGGGCCAGTCTGGTCCCTTTGGGGTGGGGGGGGGGGGGGGAGAGCAGAGGGCAGAGCCCGCGGCGCACGCGCAGAGGACAGGCCGCGCGCCCTGCCCTTGCCCCTCCGCCCGCCAGGTGGCGCTGGCGACCCGCCGCCGCCTCTCGGAGGCCAAGGCGGGCGGCGCCGGCCGCCTTGCGGGCCCCGGGTCCGCCTCCGCCGCGCCGAGGGCGTGGGCTCCGGGCTCCCGGAAGCGGCGGCCGCGGCGTGGAGCCCAGCGGGCTGTCGGTCGCCGGAGCGACCATGCGCGGCGGCCGGGGGCTGTGAGCGGAGCGCGGCGGCGCGGCGCGGGCTCCTCCCGGCGTGGGGCGGCGCGGCCGGGGTGATGCTGCTCAAGCTCCTGCAGAGACAGACCTATACCTGCCTCTCCCACAGGTATGGGCTCTACGTCTGCTTCGTGGGCGTCGTGGTCACCATCGTCTCGGCTTTCCAGTTCGGAGAGGTGAGTAGCGGAGCCCGAGCCCTGCAGCCGCGTGCACAGCCCTCCCTGGCCGCGCCCCGCGTCTCCCTGCCGCCTCCCCATCCTCCTGCAGCCTCGGGACCAGCACACAGCCCGCCGGTCCCGGGAGCCCACAGCGCGCATCCTCTCCCCGGCTCGGCTGCGCCAGCTGGACTGGACGTCCGGGCCTCCGTGCTCCCGTGTGCTGTCCCCGAGATCCCCCCGGTCATTTGACTTCTGCTCTCAGGCCTTGCGCCGCTGGAACTCCTTTCTAGGGCAAGCAGTTGGTGTTGTGCTTGATTTTGTTTTCTGTAGTGATGATCCTCCATTCCTTGGCCCTCCTCGGTGCCACCCTACTAATCTTTCACTTCTGACAACACACCTTATCTTCTTCATCCGGTTTCTTCTGGATTTCAGACTTGCCTAAGAAGCACGTGCAGTTTTGCACCTGAGTTTGCATAGTGAAGGGTTGTTGTCCACCCTCCCCTAGCCGCCCCCCCCCCACTCTTGCTGTGTGGTGTATTGAACAGCCGTATGTCAGTGGGTGGTGGCTGTGCTGGTTAGAATGCTTTCGTGGATGGGAGACACCCAAGCGCTTATCTCAGATGAGCTGTGCCTAGGGTCCTTGTCAGGTGACTAGGACTGCCTGCCGACCTTGGACTCCAGCCCGGGCCCTCTTGGGAGCCAGCACAGGCAGACCCTTGCGTCATGGGGTATGCTAATACTTTTTAGAGCGGGCGCTGGTCTTTCTTGAGCAGAGACCTGCGCTTAATTCATGTGCAGTTAAGCAGTTTGGTTACATTGTAAACTATTCAAAGGGCACAGGCAACCGGTTTGGGAGGTGGGAAACACCAGCTGAAATGGATTTTGTGCTCCTTTGGAGGCATACGTTGGACGTTTTGGGACCGAAATTAATCTTCGTTTTAAGTGTGGTACAGCACTCTCAAGTGTGCACAGGGCGATGGATGGGCACGCGGGTGTGAGTCAACAAATGACTACTTCTGGAAACAGGAAGGAAAGTTGTGCTTTCAAATGGCTTGAAATGTTGTCTCCCAATTTTTTGTTTATATTTTAGTAAGAGGCTTAAAGGGCTTAAAAGTGAACAGAATGATTTTTATCGAATGCCACAGTACACATGTGTGCCATCTGCACCCACACTGGACTGTAAGATCTGTAGAGGAGGCGGTATCTGTTTAAAGACAGTAATGCTGCTCCAAGGTCAGTGCCAGGCACCACCACTGTGTGCAAACTAAGGATGTGTTCAGTGACTGGCTGAAGTATATGGCATGTGTCTAAGTGTGTTTTTAGTGGTTCCAGGGACTAGAAAAAAAATAGTCTTACAGATGGGAATGAGAATCCCCAGGCTTGTAAGAATGGTATAGTTTCTTAATATTGCACTACCTCCTAGTCTTTGTTTCGTGTGCTATAACTTAATGTGATTGTGTATAGTTAGTGTGTCTTACTGCTTTTGGATGACTTTGCTTTTAAAATAGTCTCAACTAAATTGCCCTGGCTAGCCAGAAGTTTGCAGTGTCCCTGACTCAGTCCTCCCAAATGCTGAGGTCACTGGGTTATGTTTCTAACCAGGTTAATTTTAAGTGAGCAGTTTATTAGCTGCAGTGTAAAATACATTACAGCCTTGAAGTCCCCATTTCATTTTACTTTGAGATAGAGTCTCACCATGTGAGCCCATGGCTGGCCTTGTGTCCAGAGTGCTAGGATTGAAGGTGTGGGCCACATGCCTGGCTTGTGGGCACAGACCTTAAAGGTTAGAGTAAATTAGAGAGTGGCTGACACAGAACCGTGGAGAAGAGGGGCTGGAGGGCTAGGTAGATGGAATCTGGATTTGACTGATGGCTCCATTTAATAAGCATGATAATAATGAACATATACCTTACTAGGCATTCTCTTGACTGCCTTACATATTAATTTAGTCCTCACAGTATCATCTGATACGGACAGTATTATTTTACCCACCTTACAGGTTATGGCAACTGAGGTGTTTGCATAAGTTAACACAGCTAATCCTTGGCAGACATTGGCATCCAACTTAGACAGTTGACTTTGATGCCACAATCACAATAAGACTTCTTAGTCTCTTTAAAAAAGGCTTTCATTGATTTATGTTGTGTGCATACATGTGGGTACACATGTGTACATTATGCATGTGGTTCTCTCCACCTCATGGTTCCTAGGGATCAAACTCAGCTTGTTGGTTTTGGCAGCTAGTGCCCTTATCCCCTAATCCATCTCATTACGACTGCCTCCTTTCCTTCCAGTGCGGGGACTGAACCTATGGCATCCGAGGCAAGAGCTCTATCCCTGAACGCCACCCCCAAGCTCTCAATAGTTTCTTGGTTTCTCAAGCAGCCCATACTTATCTGGTCTGGGAAAAGAAATCTAAACCCTCTCAGCTTCCCTTTCTTCAAAGGAAAGGCAAGGATATCTTCTTATCAGGGTCGCTAGATGGGATTAAGTGTGTGGCGCACCTTGTTCTGTTGACAGCAGGTAACATTGTGGAACCATCCAAGCCAATGTGACTCTCAGGGCTGTCATCATTCTCTCTCTCTCTAGCTCTCTCTCTCTCTCTCTCTCTCTCTCTCTCTCTCTCTCTCTCTCTCTCTGTGTGTGTGTGTGTGTGTGTGTGAGTGAGAAGGTGCCCTGGAGCTAGAGTGACAGGTAATATGAGCAGCTCAGGGTGGGTGCTGGGGTCCAAACTCCAGTGTGCTGGAAGGCTGCTGAGCCAGCTCTCCAGCCTCTGCTAGAGTGCCCCACCCTGTGTGTTTGAGGCAAGATCACATGCACCCTAGGCTAGTTTCCAGCTCCATAGGTACCTGAGGATGACCTTGAACTTCTTTCTGACTCTCCTGTTCCCTAGTGCTGGGATTATAGTTGTTCAAGGCTGTGCTGGATCTACCCCAGGGCCTTATGCATGCTAGGCAAGCATCTCCCCAGCCCCAGGTTGTTGCATTTAATTAGCCATTTGAACAATTTTCCAAATTTTGAGGAAAAATATAATCAAGGGAGGGATCGACTAAGTAACTTCTTTTCCCCTCAAAGTGGGGCCGAGTACTTTATGGATAACCCTTGGTAACTCCCTTGGGATAAATAAGAAACATAGCTGGCCCATAGCTGACAATCTAGAGGGTGAGCTGGGCCCTCATAGTGGATGTCCTGGTCTGAATGAAATGACAAGGTATGTGAAGGGGCTTTTACTGTAGATGTGAGGGGGGGCGCATCCAGGGGCTCTGGCAAGGAAGAGAAAGAAGTAGACTAAACAAGCCCAGTAGATTGGAGCTGGAGAGAGCAGGAGAGGAGAGGGGAGGGGAGGGGAGGAGAGCAAAGAGAGAGCTAATGCTTGCTGAATGGCAGGGTTGTGTAGGGTGTGAGGCTGAGGAGGGAAGCCCTGGAGCTGGAGAAGTTCAGGGTAGGGCTGGGAGAGAAGAGCTGAGGGGAGCCAGGGTGCCCGCATGAACCCTGTGGCAGGTGCTTGTAGTGCTGAGAGAGCCTGAGGTCAGCACGCTCTTGCTCTTTCGTATGCTAGTAAGCATCATAGTTAGCCATTTGTTCCAGGTCTCCTTAGGTCACAGCAGGTGAGCTGAGGGTAGTAGAGACCAGCTTGTTTGTAAGTCATGTGAGTCTGAGTTCCTTAGAAGTCAGAGCTCTAGACTGTCCTTAAGAGTCCTTTAAGCAATCTAGATCAACTGTGCCCTCAATTCAGAAACCTTCGGTTCTGCTTTTATGGTGCCAAATGACTTTAATGTTAGCACTCAGGGGGTCTGAGCTTTAGAGGTTAGCCTGGGCTGCAAAGTGAGACTCCTGCCTTTAGCATTAGTGTTTGTTCTGTCTTGTAGTTGCTGTTTTGTGTCTTAAGCCATGCTCTTGAGGTAAGATTGTATTTCAGGCCCAACGTCATGGATAAACAAATCTATACACCCTTGCCTGAGACTCGAAGGGCTTACTGCATTATCACATCATCAAATACCTGCACTCTCTATAGTGAAGTTCATGAATATTTATATTCCACGAGGAAAACACTGACTATAAATAGTCTCCTGTCAGTTAGGTCAGGTTTTGCCACCAGATGAGTTCAGGGCAGGTCACGTATGCTGCCAAGTGAGGAACAAAAGCAAAGCTGGTTTGGAGATTTGGGGATTTTAGGATCGTGAATGAAGGGTTGTAGATCTCCCGGTACGTGGGTGTTTTGATTGTGTGCCTTGTCTTACTTGGGAATATATGGCTTTCTTCAGTAAACTAAGCATGGAAATAAAATTAACTCAGGTAGGAAAGTGAGTAGGCGTGGTTAAAGTCTGCTCCTACTGTTCGAGAATCTCCTCTCCACCCCCCCCCCCTTCTTCCTTGTCTGTTTGTGGTCATGTTTTTGGATTTGGGAAGTATCCTTTTCCATGATAAAGAGGGTTGAAAACCCGGTCCAGCTCAAGTCACCCTTGCGACTAGTTTTCTTAACTTGTCCAATTTTAGGAAAAAAGGTGTGTTAGCATGCTTGTCTTTGATTGGTTTCCTGCTGTTAGGGTTTTAGTGGTCAGAGGCAACAAAGGGGGTGTGGTGGGGGCGGGTAAGCAGAAAGAGACCCATCTGAGAGGGCAGTCCCTGGCCTGTACAAACTAATTCTCAACCCTGCCCAAATCGACTAATCCAAGCTGAACCTGTGGGTGGGGGCCGCCCCTCGCAGCTTTATGATTTATTTTTGGCAGAAGTTTTATTGAAAAAGTGGTGATATATGCCTTTAATACCAGCACTTGAGAGATAGAGGCAGGTGTTTCAAGTTTGAGGCTGGCCTGGCGTATATTCTAAGTTGCTGGCCAGCCAAGGCTCTGGAGTAAAACCCTGTCTTATAAAACAAAAGCAATTAAAACAACAACAAATGGTTTCAAAACTACTAGCCAGGATAGTCAAGGCCCCTTGCTCCCATTTTAATGTACATTTATTGGGAGGTTGACACAAGAAACCTGAACTCGACAGTGTGGCTCCATGGGTAGTGT